TTGGAACAAGGGAATTGCAAATTAACCTTAGCTAAGGCCCTGTTGTCGATCGATTAGTCTAGGCCAGAACAAAAGAATCGCAAATCGCCTTAAAACCATTTTCCATTTGTACGTTGATGGCTATTTCGCTTCTAAACTGGTCGAACAAAAGTAATTGGGAGACTTTTGGGTTTTCCTTTTTGAAGTACAACAGTGGAGTCAGCGGAGTCAGCGGACAAAGGTTAGGCAATGTTGGGAAATAGTTTTAATTCAAATAAATGTGGGAAACTAAAGAGTTGCTAGATACATGAAAAGACTTCTCAGAAAGTTCTATCTTTATTGTTCCAATTAAATGATGTTTCAATGCCTATTATATATAAAGGCATCCTCCTGTAATTCAAAAACAGAGTTCCTGGATAGAATATGATTCCCTTCTCATATATTAGCACATAGTGTGTGTGAGTGTGATCTGATATCTCCAACTTCTTTCTAACTGGTGCTCTAACTAACATGCAAAAAGGAAGCCCAATATATATATTTAATACATATATATACTAAAGAAATATCTAAAATTGTGGGCCCTAAAATTTTAACAATTTTTTGGACCCTGAGGCAAGTGTCTCATCCGCCTCAAGCACCGCATGGCTCTGCTTATACCCGTCATGTTTGTGAAGTGTTCTTTTTGTCTGTAAACTTGATTCACAAACAATATTTTGTTTGTGCAAAATATTGTCTGTGAACTGGGATTCACAGATAAAAAAAACATTTCACAAACATAGGTGAGTACAAAAGTGAGTATGAAAGTTGTACAAACATCATTTTTGTATCAAAATATGGAGTATGATACTCTCTCCGTTTCTATTTGTTTGACACAGTTTGACTTGTCAAGATTTAAGGGAAAAAAGTTATTAAGGGGTAAATTTTATTGTAGAGTACACTGTTTGGCACTGTTTGAACACTGTTTGACACTGTTTTGCACTGTTTAGGTAAAGATTTGTTTACCAAATAAGAAAATAAAGAATTGTGTCATTCATTTTGAAACGTCCAAAAAAGGAAAGTGTGTCAAACAAATAGAAACGGAGAGAGTAGAATGTTTGATAGGCACAGTTTCGACTTCATTAGTAAACACGCGGCATCATAGAGCACGGTCATATTGTTGTTGGTTTTTGCCTACCAAGGAGTACGGAGCATCAGTCGTTTTTGTTTTTGGTAGCAATGCAAGTTGGACCTGGTAACTATTAATAGCAATCAGATCATCCATCATTTTTGTTTTCAGTTACAAGTTACAATGAGTGGCCGATGAATCAGTGAATAAAGGGGAGTATATTTGTGTATATGCAAAATTAGGACTATCATGTGTTTTTTACTTTTAGTACTAAAATATACTATCTCCGTTCTCTTTTAATCGCAACATTGGACTTTTTACACTATTCACATATTCTACTTTGACTATATTTAATTCATTAATGTATTATAAATAAGTTTTTTTTAAAATATTATTAAATTCTCCTCATTCTAAATTTTCAAAATATGAATTTTTTGAATTTTTTACTAATAAGGAATGAAAGATATTAATGGTCAAACTTGTGCGTTGGCAAACGTGAAATGTTGACCGTTGCAATTAAAAGGGAACGGAGGAAGTACTACTTTCGCCCCTTTTTAATTTGTCAACTTTGACTTTTTTAGTCAAAGATACTCCCTCCGTATCAATTTAATTGACCCGTATGCTTTTTCACGTAGTTTAAGGGAAATATATGTAAAATAGGAGGTTTTTGGGTACTGTAGCAGTATTGTAGCGGTACTATAGCTCCTTTTTGGGTGAGTTTATTTCCAAAAGGGAAATGAGACATTTATTTTGATACGCCCCAAAAAGGAAAGTGGGTCAAATAAATAGATACGGAGGGAGTAATAAACTTGGATCCATTATTTTAACTAATATATTTTACGTAAAAGTTAATAAATTTATACTTTTATGATAGTATTTTCAACAAAGAACATTTTTATATAATTTTCTTATTATCAATATTACCGTGTATAAATATATAATCAATTAAAGTTGAACAACTTTGACTTGAAAATTTGTGTTTGGCAAACTAAAAAGGGATGGAGGGAGTAGTAGTTAGACAAAATTAACCCTGAAACAAAAGATTAATGAATTCCCAGCCTCCCATGACGCCGTGCAGTGAGACACCACCAACACCCGTGCACTCTGGATACCGTCGAAGCTGTTGCAACTGCCAGCTAACGAGACCGCCACCGCTGCCACCATGTGAGACAACCGCCACCGGCAGGTCGGACCGCCGCCACCACCACCACCAGGTCAGACCGCCGCCGCCAAGTAAGATTGCTGCCTGCTTACCCGCCAGGAGAGACTGCCGCTGCACACCTATTGCAAGGAGGCTTGACGCCCTCCGACAAGAATGGTGCCAGCGTGTCATCCACCGCATCTGAATTGTCCCATGGAGGTGCTGGCATCTTCTTGCAGATGTCATCTCCTTAACAGATAGACAATGTTGCAACTTGCAAATGCCTCACTAAAATGCCATCCGGATAAAAAAAATGATAAAAACATGACTAGGATATGAAAACATGTCATTTTTGGATCTAAACATGACATTTTTGAGACATAAGAAATGCCATCGGGAACGGATAAAAACAATGACAAAACCATGGCTTGGATGCAAAAACGTGTCATTTTTGGATCCAAACATGACATTTTTCAGACACAAGAAAATGTACTGGGATAAAAAGAATGTCAAAAACATGGCTAGGATGCAAAAACATGTCATTTTTTCTGACATATGAATGACATAATTTGTTAAAAATGGCAAAAACATGACATTCTCAAAGATGTAATATTGCTCATCTCCAAAAAATGTCATAATACCGATACATTTTTCTTAAAGCTCAAATCCTAAAATATCAAACAGCTATGGTTGGAGCTTCAAATCTTCATAACCAAAAGTTTCCAATCTAATAATTTCACATAAAAAAACATTTTTGTTTAGAATCTAAAAAATAAACAAATAAATTAATTGAAATTGTAAGAAAAGCAAGAGCAGCAGAAAACAGGGGAGACGAAAGGAGAATGAAAAGAGATGGAGATGAGGAGAAGAAAGAACAAGGAGAGGAGAAGAAGAAGAAAGAAGGAGAAGAAGGTTACCTGTGCGCGGAAGAGACTATCGGCGAGAGATTGAGAGGCGGCGATAATCGAAGCGGCAAACAAGCTAGAGTTTGGAGATGCGTAGACTCCGGTAGATGCATCAGATTTAGGTTTAATTTTATGAGGGGTAAATTGGTAATAGGAGGTCCTATTTAGGAAATTTAAAACATTAAGTCCTACTCCGTATTTGAGAATTTTGACCATGTTTTAGTCTTATTTAGGTCAATTTCTTAAAGAACTCCAGTACCCATTTAAAAAATGGGGGTACCGTACCTATGATTCACTTGATTGGTCCAAATAGGTATATCATTTTTAATTTAGACTTAAATAATTCAACTGCAACATTCTGATTGGTCCATGTGGACAAATGTATGATACCTTTTGGGTACCATAGAATCTACATTACAAAAAACACGTGATTAATATAGCTTTTTGGCAAAGATTTGCAAAAATCATGAAGAATTTGGTAGGATATGCTAAATGCATGTCAAAAACACTTTTGCACGGACTATTTAACACAAAATTATCTGTCCATCCATGTCAATCCCGTAAATTCTTTGTAATGATATATTCTCCATCATCGTAATTAATGGCACTATTCCATTGAAAATGTTGGAAGAAGGAGCTATCCCTTATATATCCCTTATAGCTAATATTGGGAAATGTTGGAATAAGGAGCCAACCCATTGTCGCCCTACCGTTTGCTAGATTTGGTAGTATTTGCGTAGACTTTTAACTTTTTGCTAGATTTTTTATTGACCCAAAAAACACTTTTTCTTGTAGTAACTAGAGTTTCAGTTACTCGTATGGGTGCTACATCGTGCACAACTAATAAATAATAATTGCTATTTATGACTAATTACATGACTAAAATGAAGACTATTTACAAAAATGTCATTAGTGACTAGAGTAGTAATCAAATTATAGTAATGATGTTTTTACTTGGACTGTAATTCGTCCGAGACCAGATAGACCAGACCAGACCAAACTAGACTTGGATAGTTATAAAAATACAAAGAAACCAGATCAGATCAGACCAAACCAGACTAAATTAGACCAGTAAATTAAGTAAAAACATCCTAACTTAGTTTTATCTTCCGTGTTCCATCCCAAGTTAATTTTAGTTGTAATCAATTCTTTTGGTTTGGTTACAATGTAATTAATACGGATTTTTTTTTTCAATACATATCTGACATCTGTACCAGTTTTTTAAATTTGTCTTTATCGGCTATCCTCATATAATTTCTTTTGGAAATTAAATTCATAAATTATTAAAATTTCACAATATTCGTTTGGGTAATTTCCAAAACAAAAGTAAGCCAGGTTGATTTTCATATCTGACTTTAATACAACAATATTACTGTCATAAAAATTAACACATGTACACTACTATTATATACTACCTCCTCCATTCTATTTTAATTGCAACTTTGGACTTTTTGCACTATTCACATATTTTACTTTGACTATATTTTATTTATTAATGTATTATAAATGGAATTTTTAAAAAATATTATCAAATTACTCTCAGTTTAAAATTTCAAAATTTGATTTTTTTAGTTTTGTTACTAATAAGAAATTAAAAATATTAATGGTCAAACTTGTGCGTTGACAAACATGAAAAGTAGACCATTGCAATTGAAAAAGAACGGAGCAAAGACAATCTCTTTATTATATCCATCAATCCATCCACCTCTATTCCCTCAATAATTCGACTCATTTCATTGAGATAGAATACTCGTATTAATTTAATTAAATAATAAAAACAACAAAACGAAATTGTATAATGTTTTTGGTACACAAATTCAATTCGGTGGAGCAATCATCATTAATTATAACGACCAACCGTCTTAATAAGCGCAGTTATATGTAGTTGACAAATAATGCAACTATTTAACCCCTTGATTACTATAACATGAGAATCGAGGAAGAAAATGACTAAGAGCAACATGGAGAGCGAACTCATTCAAGCGCCTATTCGAGCATTGAAGAGAGCCAGAGATTTCTATATCCGGGGTTTGTGGGACTGTTCCGGCAAGCTCGGGCCCGGCGCCGGGAATCTGATGGGCTGCCCGGCGCCGCCGCCTCCGCTTTCCACTATGCCACGTAGCTTTTCCGAGCTGACCAGCGGGGACGAGGACTTGAGGGAACTTATTAGGGTCTCTTCTAGAAGAAGCCTCAGAGGCAAGGTGGGGGCGGAAGTACTCCGGCGAGGGCAGCCAACGCCGGCGGCGGTTGATTCTGCTCCCGGACGGGGAGGTTTGCCAAAAGCTGGGCCGTGTCGTGGCGTCGTGGTGGTGGCTATTGGGAGGATTGATGAAGAGAAGTGGTACACGTCATGAGTTCTTGACTTGATCGAATTGGTGTTTTATTGCTTCAAAGTAGGAAATTATAATCAAGTTTGGGAAGCCCATGCAAGAATAATATCTCCTATGTATATTGATTGATAGCATGTACCATATATGGTGCCTTGATCTTCAATGATTTGCTTTGAGAAAAATCTTCAATGTCTTTAGTTTTAAGAAAAGCCCATGAAGGATATGATGTTACAATTCTCACTAATAATGTGCTAGTTTGACCTCATCTAAAAATGTCTACTCTAATTAATCTAGGTTGAATCTGTTTGGTGTTGTCTTTTGAAGCATATCATGTGTATTTTTATATTCTTGTATTATCTAAGTTTGCTCTATTTAATGATGTTTTCACTTTTAATTTGAACACTCAAAAGCACAGGAAAAATAATCGGGGATCGCATCATATGAGGACTAGATCACAAACACGCGACGCGAGAAACCTTGATATCTGAGGGGTTATATTGAGGGGCTTCTATAATGTATTGGGGGTTGGGCTAGCTATATACATTCTTGCTATTTTCTTTATTTTCTTGTCAAAAAAAGACGATGTATGTTTTGACTTTCATTAAAGTTTTTAGTATGTTCTAATATAATTTAATCTAGTCTGGTCATCTTAAGTCTCAAGTTATGATCTTATATGAAATTTCGGTTGATTTGAAATTTAAATAAGTTCAAATGAAAACATTTTTAAATTTATTTATGTCAATTTTGGTCAAATTTGATGATTTGATCTAAAACTAAAAGTAGTCCAAACTGAAAATATCCTTTTTTCAACCTATAAGTAATTAATGATTCCTTCTCTAACACCACTTTGTATTATAGAATTTATTTTTTAATTTAATTTAAAGACGTAGTAACTTTTATCGTTAGCAAACATAACTACATAATCCCGTTTGATTAATAAGTAAATTAATTTTTACTTACGATAAACAGCATATAACTTGGACTGATAATTTAGAATTATTAGGACTCAAGTATTTTCGAAGATATCAAATTAAGTATGTCACATTTTACTCCTTCCCATTTTACCTTTTTCGTCCGTCCATTAAGTTTGTCACATAGCAGATCATATTTGATAATATTTGGGTAGTTATCATTCATTCTTACTTTATTCACACTTTATCAATTCAATATCAACTACACAATTTCACTTTTTCTTAAAAGTTGTGTCACATACCCCTTTGTCCCAAACATAGTGGGATGAAGGTAGTAAGATAGTGTGTCATTCAATTTCCTTTTCTGGAACTTAACAACAAATTGGCTAGATCCAAAAAAATTTAAAGGCTTTTCATTAGGGGTGGGCACGGTCCGGTCCGGTCCAATATTTGATCGAACCCGTATCCGTACCGTTACTATTGAAACGGTTCAGTTCGGTCTTAGACCTAAACCCGTTCGGTATGGTCCATTTTCAAACGGGATGGTACGATGCCATACCAATACCAAATAATGCCACTTTTTCCAAGTGTTTAAGAAAAAATTAAAGTTTAGGCATCCTCCAAAAATCCACACAATTTAACAATTTTCATATTTCATACTACCTCCGTTCCAAAATGAATTGCAAAGTCAACATTTTTTTAATCAAATCGTTTCTTTTTATTCATTTAATTAGGATTTCACTTTTTAATTATATTCTAATTTGGCCTTTCAGAAAAAAGTACTTCATATATTCTAATTTGGACCTTACAACTTTAAATATATTTTAATGTGGTTTCTAAATATGTAATTTTTAATTATTAAAAATTGTACGGATTATTAATTATCATTAGGGAGGACTTAACACTAACATTGGCCAAAAAGTGTTGACTTTGCAAATCAATTTGCGACGAATGATGTAATTAATAAATTTTAGATAACTATAATAGTACACATTTAATAATTTAAACATACTTCGGTTCGGTTCGGTCCGGTACCGGTTCTCATTTTATGAGAACCCGTCATGACATTGTTTGGAACCGGTACGGTTCGGTTCGGGACAAAATAATTTGAGATCCGTTTCAAACCCCGTTTGTTGGTGCGGTACCATACCGGTCCGGTACCATGCCGGTTCGGTATTTTTGCCCACCCCTACTTTTCATTACAGGTGGATTCGGTTCAAACAACGGTCCGGTTTTTACTTAAAATCAAATGTTGAATCAAAATAGAAAGTTCGATTCGGTTCAGTTCGATTTTATGTTCAATATTTTGGAACCATGGTTTGTTCGATTCAGTTTATTTCGGTTCGGTTTCGGTTTTTTCGAGTTTTACCAAAATATTTTTGTTGACTAGAAAAATAGTAATTGGGAAACAAAAAATAAACAAGTAAACTATATCAAACTAGAAAAATAGTAATTGGGAAACAAAAAATAAACAAGTAAACTATATCAAACTAGTATTATAATAGATATACAATACAAAAACATACATAATGAGGAAGCGGTCCAATCCAGCTGGTCGCCGACTCACTCTCCCTTACGGGATCTCAGGTTCAAAACTCACTAGAGTGAGTTTCAGCCCTGATTACTTCAGGGCCTCCCGGGCCCCCTCCCCCAGACACCTCTTGGAGTAAAAAAAATAAAAAAAAAAACAAAAAAAAAAACAAAAAAAAACATACATAATTAAAAAAAAGAAACAGATGCACTTCTAAGAAGGAATGAACTAGAACGTACATGTACAACAATTTAAACATTTTTTAAATTAAATAAATGCGTGAGTTTATTTGTGAATTATATACGATGTATTTGCATGTTAAAATTTTATTAGTAAATAACTTATTCTACTTTATTTTTAGACACATATATTTATGCTCTAAGGTTTCATGTTTTCTGCTACGTTGATTAAAGTATAGTTTATATTAATATGTATTTGTCCAATATATAAAACTACGTGATAATAGACATATATACATAACTTATAATATATCAACAAAATATCATTATCATGCAACAACAAGCAAAGTGTAAACCAAGTGTTTCACTTAATTAAACCATTTAAACCATAAATACTAAATGTCAATATCTTACAAATCATAATAAATATATAACGTTTTTAACTGCACAATTATCTTCAAGAATTCATTTGAATGCCTTCCCAATTGAAGTTTTAGTTCAAATTTGGTATGAGTAAACTAGACTTAATGAATAAGATGCTCAAAAAATTTCATTAAAAAATTCCACCAGTAACTGCCCCAAATAGCATCGGCCGGACAAGACCTCCTATATAAAGTCTTATTTGACCTCTTTTTATGTAAGTTAGACACCGACCCTTTTCACTTGTTTTATCCATTAGGTTTTGTGTTTTGGATTTGTCCAGCCCACCTCTACTTTTCATAGTTCATACTAGGGCTGAGCAAAACCCGATCCGACCCGAAAAACCCGATAATTTTTTCGGATATTATCCGAACCGAAGTGGATATCCGACCCGAAAAACCCGAAACCGAAAATCCGATTAATATTGGGTCTAGTTCAGGTGGCGGGTAGGGTTTGTAAAATCCCAACCCGACCCGCCCGAATATCCGAAATACCTAGTATATGTTAGTGTGTACTTTGAGTATGTTAAATTAATACTTGTGTTCAATTATTTGTGTAATTATTTGTGCAATTTGTATTAAATTATTTGTGTAAATTGAATGTGTAGTGCATTAGTGTGTACAATTTTTGTCAAAGTGGCATTCCAACACTTTAATTATCCAATTATAATGTGTTTTAATATAACCGAAATATCCGAAATATATTAAATTATGTAGTGTGTACTTTGAATATGTTAAATTAATACTTGTGTTCAATTATTTGTGTAATTATTTGTGCAATTTGTTTGAAATTAATTGTGTAATTTAAATGTTTAGTGCACTAGTGTGTACAATTTTTTGTCAAAGTGGCATTTAAACACTTTAATTATCCAATTATATTTTTTTAATATAACCGAAATATCCGAAACCCGACCCGATATCCGATTATATCCGACTTAAAAATATCCGAAATACCCGATTTGAAATATCAAAGTGTCGGGCCTAGTATTTAAATTAAAAAACCCGAACGGGTTTAGGGTTCGCAAACCCGACCCGCCCGAACCTGACTCGTGCACGGCCGTAGTTCATACATACAGTATCCGCTTCCAAGTTACAAACCTGTAACCGAAGTTTCCGTAGGCCGTAGCCATATCTCTGTTTTGGCTTGAACTGTCAACTCCATCTGCGGCGTAGACTGCACCAGTGTTGAAGATCGGCGACCGGAGACCGGCGACCGGCGACTGGAGACCAGCGGCGACCCACAACGACTGGAAAGAATCAAAGGCCAAGGTTAGTGCACTACATTTGAATTCCCGAGGAATTTGAACAGGTTATATGAGTGTTTATGATATACTATCGTACGATGTTTCTTCACTCAATCTTTGCCTTAGTTCCTTAAAAAAGACTACCTCAAATGAGTGTAGATTGAATTATATGATTTCTTGTCTCAACTCGTATCATTATCAAGGTGGAGTCCGGGAGGGGCGAGCGGGTACCCCCGGAGTAATTAAGCTATATATGGTATCAGGGGTGCCCCAGCCCCTGAACGGCTGGACCTGCTTGGCGTTCACTCTTTCTTCCTCTATCTGCTAAGCTGTTATACAAACGAATGAATTGAAGCTCCACTTTTTTTTTTTTTTTTTTAATTTCATTTAGTGAGTGATTGTTATTTGTTAGTGGAAGTTACACAAACCCCTAATTTTTTGTTGTATTTATATTACAAATTAAAACTACTAACACATTCACCATGCTCTGCCTCACAAATTATTTGAATGCTGATTCACATGTACAGAGCTATTGTTTACATAAACACATAGCTCTAGAATTCATCTATGACTCAATAGAAGCTTCATAATTATCTTCTCCAAGAGTTTCATTTGGTTAGACATCAATAAATCAATTCAAGTATAAAACATTATAAGAGCATTCTTTTCCTTTTCTTCTTCTCCGAAAATTACCTCTCTCCCTCTTCTATAATAGTCCGTATCACTCCTCCAATTTGCCTGCAGAAATTCTGTCATTCCTAGAGTCTCCATCTAAATTCTGGTAAGTTTAATTTTCCATTCCTCAACCATGTTTCTTTTATAAGGATAATCTAGCCACTTGTAAGTGTAGTTTTGTTTTATCAGCCATAAATCTCAGTGGATTAAAATTTAAATTTTCTATTTTTAGAATTTTAGTTACGTTAATGGTTTTACCTTATTGCGTTTAGCAATCAAACCTTGCCATCTTTGCTGATCGTTTTTGCTATCGATTGGAGCTTTGGGCAGTATGACTTTTATCAGGACGGAGGGATTATTTATTCTCCTTGGTTCCTTTAAAACATGACCAAGTTTGACCGGCACAGGATTAATAAAGTAAAATTGTGTGATTGAAGTTTCGGCAGGATAGAGAGTTGAGAGAGAGAATTAAGTGTAACCACATTTTTTTATTTAAAAGGGAAAATGTCAAAGTTAATGGGACAACCATAAAAGAAAAGTTGGCAAAGTTTTTGGACATTAAAATTTAAAATAATGTAATAATAATAAAATAATAGTAAAACCTCCATAAGATGTAAGCTCAAACCAAATGCCAGATTTCTACTTTTGCATTAAATTAATCATAGGAATTAAGCATCGCGGAATGAAAGCTAGATATTGGCAGACATTATTAGATTTATAGGATAGCTTGGGGAATGGGCTTATGGCTTGAAAGGTTGGTTGTTACAATATACCTTCTAGGCTTGAACTATTGGCTATTGCGCCACATTTGGTTTCCACATAATTCTCCCACAAAGTCTCCTCCCAAATTGTTCAAGTATCCTTTGCCTTTGAGTTGTGATTGAAACATACTATGAAATTGTTTTGCCAATACACGTTCTGATAATGAATGATCGAGTTTCCTATCGGTGGGCGTACTGGTAGCGAGGGAGTGCCACAAGAGTTAGGTCTCGGGTTCGAATCCCGGCTACTGCGATGAAGGGTTACTATGCTGAAAAATGCATAGGGCTTCTGCAAGTACCGGGGACAGAGCCCCACTCTCTTTCTGTCAGATTGTGATTATAGTCCAATTTACATCCTCCCATCGTGCCGTCCGGTCAGTGTTGGGGGGCCCTCAGGGATGGGGTGTCATCCTTTTTTTTTATCGAGTTTCCTTTCTATGAAGAAAGAAACGAATATTTTCATATAATCAAGCACTCTATTATACCTAATCTCCGTACGTTTTAGGTTCGATCAAGAAGTTTGTCTAATCTCATATTTCCTTGATGATATTATAGAAAGGGGAAGTCCTTATGTGGATTGGGGCTAGACGGAGATGAGCTGGACCGTTTAAGACTCCTAAAACGTAAACTGCGTGAAAAAGCATCAGAAAGCCAGGAGGGCCTCAAAGAGGAAATCGGAAGATAATAGTGAGTAGGGGTGAGTTTATCTTTAGGCCGTGTGAAACGTAGATCATCGCCGTTCTTAACCGAGACTCAGGTTAAGCTCCGTCTCGGAACCTTGTGGGGTTAGGAGTAAAGCATCCCGAGGTTGGCGCATCTCGTTAAGCGTGGAGAAGCATTGGGAACCCCAATTTATTTCTTCGGAGCCGTTTCTTTTCCCGTCCCCCCGCCCCGGCATAGCGTTTCGCTTCCGGTTCTTCGGAATAATAAACTGACGTCTCCCTTCTTCATCGATCTGGGGGAAAAGGAACCGTCTACCAGTTGGGAAGCTAGTCCCGGTGTCAACACTTTTGTTGACCAACCAATGTCATTGTATGCTTCAACCATGACTTTTTTTTATTGAATCCCTGAAAGTAGGGATTTTTTATGGGAGAATTGTCAAATAGGTCGAATAAGCCCTTATATAGGAGGCACTGTCCGGCCATCGCGATTTGGGGCAATTCCCGGTGGAATTTTTTGATGAATTTTTTTGAGCATTTTATTCATCAAGTCTAGTTTAGTCATACCAAATTTCAGCTAAAACTTCAATCGGGAATGCATTCAAATTAATTCTTGAAGATAACTATGCAGTTAAATGGGCAGTTATCTTCAAGAATTAATTTGAATGCGTTCCCGATTGAAGTTTTAGCTGAAATTTTGTATAACTAAACTGAACTTGATGAATAAGATGCTCAAAAATTTTCATCAAAAAATTCTACCGGGAACCGCCCCAAATCGCGACGGCCGGACTGAGCCTCCTACATAAGGACTTATTTGACTTTTTTATGAAAGTTCGAGGACCTATTTGACAGTTTTCCCTTTTTTTATTGATAAGAATCAAAGATAATGAGAGTATTCCCCGTAAACTAATAAAGGGAAACAAATGATAATGAGAGTATTCCCCGTAAACTAATGAAGAAAAGTGTTATGGACCTAGCCCATACTAGGCTCATACCAGTGCCATAAGCCCATGTGTAGAACTCACTTCCAAAAGACCATCCGATTAGGAGAAGGGAACACCTTGCTTATAAGCCACCGGTTAAGCCAATACTTGACTAGTGTGGGATCGTTATAATACCCCACGCTTCTAAGAGTCAACGTCCTCGTTGGTCACAACTATGTTGGTCACAGTTGACACCCCTTAGGGCCCAAGCCACCACTCCATAGACCACCACTCCGAGTGTCGGGACTAAGAAGATGGAGATGGATCTGATACCAATTGTTATGGACCGAGCCCATACTAGGCCCATACCGGTGCCCTTGGTTTAAAAAAGCGCGCCTGAGGCGCGCAAAGGCGCGAGGCGCCATAAGGCGAACAATTAATCGCATCTTACACCCCCAGGCGGCGTAGGTTCCAAGAGGCGCGCCTTATATGGCGCTTTTTGACGCCTTTTGCGCGTCTGAGAGGCACACGCTTCTCACGCCTCATGGAACTGTCTTGGCGATTCAGTCTCTCTAGGCTTCTCCCTTTTTCCTTCTGCGTTGGCTTTGCTTCCTAGTTCCGGCATCCGCGTCCGGTTTCTCCCTTTTCTTTCTCTTCTACTGTTTGTTCTCTTATGTGTGTGATAATTTATTAATTAAATATGTATTATTTTATATTTTATTACCTTGAAATTGTAGAGTTAGTACCCTGTCGGTCTGTTCTAGATCATGCTGAGTAAGCTACCTAAAAATTTGTTTTTATTTAACAAATATATAAGACAGTTTTTATTATAAACAATTTTTTATATAACAGTTTATTAATTATGTTTTGAAGTTTTAAGATTGAGTTTTGTAACTTAACTTTTGGCAATGATGCCGTTTAATATTTTTTTTTTGCTAGTGTCTTCATAAATGCTGGGTTTCTCTTATGATGTTTATCAAGATTGTGTAATAGTTTGAAGTATTTTTGTGATGTTATCACTTTTTGAGAAGAGTGTTTCATGTAGAAGTAGTATAAATATATTTTATCAAAGATATGTGGTTAAGATCTGTGAGGCGCGCGCCTTGCCGCCTAGCGCCTCGCGCTTCGGGTAAATCAATGAAAACGCCTCGTGTCGCCTCACGCCTTTTAAAACTAAGCCGGTGCCATAAGCCCAGATGTAGAACTCACTCCCAAAAGACCAATCGATTAAGAGGAGAGAACACCTTGCTTATAAGTTACCGATCAAGCCCATACTTGACCGGTGTGGGATCGTTACAAAAAGACATTGTAAATGACGAGTTATCGTCTAAGAAACAAGCTATCAAAATCAGAGATCCATCTACTTCGCAGATACTAGCTTTCGTTTTGAAGCGATGCATTCGCTCCTATTAAGGATCTTATGTTTGAACTTAGGAGGATTCAACTTACAAGAAGGATGAAGTAGTCATTCCAATAGCTCGTGGTCGGATAAAGTCCCCGAATAAGTATACATTCAATTTGATCGCCATAAGGGGAATTTAATAGCATGTCAACAACCCCTCAATTTCTGGATGATGATTGCTGACACAATAACCTGGAGGGGTTTTTCTTCAATAATGTCTAAATCCTTAATAGAAAATGCATTCTCCATAACTCTGTTCCCCGACTAATGATCAAAGAAGGTGAAGATTCAAATAATGCTCCAACCGTGACACGTGTGTGAGTCTTGTGGGAGATTGTTATGGTACCACCCGTATGATCAAGTACTTACCAGGTTGGAAATACTGGTTGTAAGCACAACATACCTCCATACTGCTTTCCAAATGAGTTTATCACAAGCCCCTTCACTTACATGGAGTGATTGGAGCATACTACGAAATTAATTGACCAACAAACATGTTGACACCGGAAAATCAAATTTTCTATTCAAAAGAGAAATAGTCGGATGTCTTGACACAACTAAAAAATTGAAGGCTTATTTGTGTCAAAAATCAAAACATCCACTTGTTTCTTCCATCCATCCGTCAAACTTGATCTTTCGTTTTCAATACTTGTACAATTTGGCAAGAGGCTTTGAGATATTTGCCAAGAGAATTTGTGGGAGACTGTTTTGATACTCTCCGATCAAGACAACAGTATGGGTCATGTTAACCTAAGACTGTGTCCCTTCTGCATCATTTAACCTTTTTATTTGGACGGTCTAGACTGCCATCTGTAAAAACCTCTTTCAAGGTTTAAGAAGGCTAGTTCGGGTATTGAGGCGGTTTGTTCGAGAGAGGCTAGGCGTGAGCCTCGAGGCGTATTGAGGCTTAAGCCTCAAAATTTACCAAGTCAAACTTAAAATAGTTAAACTAGTAATAACCAACTATAGATATGCATAATAAAAGTCCAAAAAGTCTCAAACACATATATGATCACATCATAAAAAACAATAGCTCAAAATGAGAATACAAACACAAAATAGACACATCACATAGATGACAGTTTGAAACTCTCAAAGCTTAATCATCATGATTGGAGGGTCTTTGGAAAGTCATTATATATTTATATCTTATGGCCTTGAGGCTGTTGTCAAACTGTTTAAGATTTTAACTAAACTAAAAATATAAAGATAGAAAAGTAATCCCACTATGGAATCAATTGAGCAGTATGTTTGTATGCAAAAGGGAAAAAACAAGTAGTATAATGCTTCGTATGTTTTAATGAAAGCAGCAACTCTACTTCCTATTAATCACCACAAATGCAAATATAAATAGGAGTCCATAGGCATTTAACTAACCTGCCAAGCCACTATTCCATTTCTTAACATGAAATTGCCACTACTCCACTAATGCCAATTTTAACTAATAAATTAAGTAAAACTTAAAATAAAATTAAAAACTCCTAGCCATGCATATGTGTCCCATGACTGATTAAAACCCAACAATCACCCCCTTAATCGGTCAGTCCATACTAGCCGCTCACAGTAGTGCCGGTTCCTCTTCCATCAAATATGCTTCTTATTTTCCCCACTTAGGACACTCGTTGATATAGTGACCAAGTACCCACACTTGTAACATGTAACGTGACTTTTGTCCCGAACACGTTCATTACCGTCTTGACTCCTCCCGGACTTACGACCTCTTCCCCGGCCACGTCCAGAGTCACCCCGACTTGAACCTCCGTTGCCAGAATGCTTGCAAACGTGAAACTTTTCTTCACTTGCCAACAACAAACTACCTTGACTGTCTTCCACCTTCTCAAAGCCTTTTGTGCGTTCCTCGTACGCCCTCAATCTTCCAACGGCCTCTTCAAACAGCATCACATCTAACTCAAAGCATTGCTCAATTGAAGCGACGAGTCAAAGATAAGACTTGGGCATAGAATCCAGTAGCTTTTTCACCAAATTTGATTCCTCAATCTTGTATCCGAGGGTCCTAGCCGTTGATGCTAAACCGATCAATTTTTCGGCGAAGTCATCAACGGTCTCACCTTCCTTCATACGCAATCCTTCAAGCTCCCTCTTTAGAGTTGCAAGACGAGCCGTTCTCACCCGCTCCACTTCAAAAAATTGCGTTTTTAGGCCATCCCATACTTGCTTTGGGTCGGTGTAACTCTCCATTTGCAGCACCATGTCTTCGGGTATCGCTTGAAACAAGAAAGCAAGACCTTGTTTCGACTTCCTTGGATCCATTTGTTCACCTAGCGCCCTTGGTTCAACTGTAACCCATAAGCCATATGCATCCATGATCGTTCTCACCTTGACAACCCACACCGGATAATTCGTCCGGGTCAAGGCCGGAACTTGAAACGTCATCGAACCTCCTTCTCTTGATACCAACGCCATTCTACTCTTCGTTTGGATAGCCCCAAATTTTGTTGATCAATCTTGTTCCAAGAGAATTTTCTACCGATCAAGAAAACACGGTCACAACCACCGTTACCGTTTTCCGATTACCGATTAAAAATACCGTTGCCCGAAGTCAAAAGGCTAAAACCAATTTTATTCCAAGATGAGCCAAAATGAATCCTAACAAGGGGTTTAAATACCCTTCTACTAATTCTCAAACTAGGAAACAAAATCCTAGAAATCCTAATCAACTCCAACTAGGAAACAGAATAATAAAGATCCTAATCAACTTCAAATAGGAAACAACTAATAGAAATCCTAATTAACTCCTAATAGGAAACAAATATTAGAAATCCCGATTAACTCCAATTAGGAAACAAATCAGGAAAATTAAAAAGAATAAATATTAATTAAACAGCCCGCAACCAGCCCACGAAGGTGGGCTCAAGCCCATCCCGCCTTTAGTAAACCAACGGGTTCTTCTGCCCCTCTTCTTCCAAGCCTAGATTCCGCTTCATATCAGGGAAATTGTTGTTTATTATGAACATGAATGAAGAACAGAACAGAAAACTATACAAGCTTAGGCACTTAGAGCAGCCTATCTCTCCTAACATCCCAGCCCAAGTCTAAAATTCTGCTTACCTTCTCCCTCTTCTATTCCCTCTATTTATTCTTTTCCAAATGAGGCCTCCCTCAATCTATCTAATTACTTGGCCCAGCCCACTATTACATTTTATTAAAATATTAAACCCAAAAGTCCAGGTCTCTATCAGTGTGTTATTCTGTAGCTTGGTTGGAAGCTCAGCTTGTGCGTAAGTAATTCTAAGTTGGGGCTGTAATTGGCTTCCCAGGGTTGCGAAGCTGAAAGGTTATGCCAAGAAAAATTCAAACAATAGTAGAAAGGGTATATGTAAAAAGTAACATATAGAAAGTTAAAATGCAAAGGTTATACCTTTTAGTTGTTCTTAAATTATCACATTTGAAGGGAAGGAAATTATCTACAACTATGGGTCTAAGTCATGCATCTCACCAGGAGAAAGCAAAAAAAAAAAAACACTTCTATTATTTTTTCATTTCGTATTCTTATGAATTATGATGAAGTCATGTTGATCACAAGACGAACACTATTTATATGTAATTAGAAATGATATCAGTAATAATCTGCAAACAAAAGTATAGTTTGATTCCATTATTGTGATGCAAAATGATTTGTATAACCCAAAAAAAAAAAAGATTACAGAAAATATTTGCGCATTTGCTATTTCGAATTACATGCCAAAAACACCTCATTTGGAGTGAATAAAAACTTTTGTTATTAGAATCAGTATCACACAACAATCCATCCCACAACAATACAAGTCCTAGAAAACAAATGCGTATTTTCATTTTATTTATAACATCTTATTAATAACTTAGAACAACAAAAGATGTGGAAGAAAAGCCATGATAAGGTAATAATGTCCCAAAGAAAACAAATGTTCTCTATGGTAATAATTTTTTACTTTATTTTTTATAACTTTACTCCCTCAATCCAAGGAGAAGGTTTTGATTTCCTAACTTCATGCTGTATTTAATCTCTGATTATATATACACATTTTTAATATGTTCTCTTTTCTGTTATTTATTTTTTAGATATTTAAATTGGTTTTTAAAACTTTATGTATAGTAATACTAGTAGTTTAAAACCGCTATAATCTACAAGAAGTTTATTACTAATAGTTTAATACATTAAAAGAAATTTATTAATTTAGTTCTGTAAATAATAATTTGTGACCTTTCCTTTTAAAAGTACAAATTTCACTGGGAATATCCATCTGATCAGGTGCTGTCAGCTTGGAATATTCATGTATAATTTGGAGATTTCGGCATAAGAGTTCTTAGTGGCATTGTGGTACAGGACAAGATTTACTAGTGAACAAAGTTGGATTTATAATGGAGACATGCATCATTTGGGAGTTAATTCAGTAAAAATTCAAAAAAATGTATGATGTTTTTTGTTTGAACAGGTTTCAGTTTTAGACCAAACTTGAAATACATGTATGCTAGATCTTTACTAGACTAGTTCAGATCAAATCAGACTAGACTTGGGCAATAGTAAAATATATGTATGTGAAATCTTAACCATACTAGCTCAGACCAAATCGTACTTTTGGATAGAATCGGTACATAGATTTAAAAATCAAATCGTAAATCGTAATATTATAAAAATAAAAAATAAATATATTTAAAAATTTAGATTAAAGGAAACCCACAATTTTAAATTCCTAAGCTACAAAATAAGTTTTAGTTTTACAATTTTGTGTTAATAATAAAAGTTCATACTCAGCAATTAGTTAGTAAATGTATATGTATAAGCTCTAAGGAAGACGTAATATAATATACACATTGATACTTAAATTTCAACAATGTCATTTGCTGGTAGTTGGTATAGTGGAGGGGATTTGAAGGATTATACGGGGGGTCGAATCCCAGCAGCAACGGAGGCTGGAGCTTTAATTTTACCTTTGTAAAATTGTGCTCTCTTAAATTCTTTGATATCTTCATATCCCACACCAGAACATTGAGGAAATTTTCCTGTCAATAGTATTTAAATTCGGGTCTTCTACTCACATAGCTGCAGCAACAAAGACTATGCTCTGGGCCGGGTAGGCGAGAGTTGGGCTTGCTCGGGCCTGATTTAGTCGGTCTGGGCTTAAATTATAAATCGTAAAGTCGTATTAAAATTGTGATTTGAAGCAATTTTTAACGATTTATTTATGATTTTACCCGATTTTGTTTGAATTCGATTTTGTATGCAATTTGAATCGATTGGGGTGAATTGGAATCGTAAAATCATATGATTTTACTATTTGAATCAAGATTTTAACGATCTTGGTTCAGACCAAACCATGTTAGACTTGAACACAACACGCCGAAAAATTCTCAATATGGAACTGAAGAAGCACTATCTTTTTAATTTATGTCATATTTTTGGTTCATTCTAACTATGATCATTAAAATATTCTGAGATAGAAAAAATAGAGCTCTTGGTTAATTAATTATAAGGGTTTCTAGTTTGATGTTTTGTATGGTTTAAGCTTGGTGAATTCTGACTACAATTTGGATAAGTTTCCACGGGTAAGCACGGAAACGTGAAACCCCTTTAGCTTTCCAATTCAGAAACGTTTTGGAAACGGGAAATGGCTGGAAACGATGGGAAACTTTCCAGCCTAGTGTTGTGAAAATAGTTTCTATATTGTCATAATAATTTTAAGTCTATTGGGCTCAGGTTTCATTAGTAGATGAACAAACAACACACACTTACATGCACTTATTTAAAAGTATATTGCTATTTATATTTAAAAGTTAGCTATAGAATATCTCAAGATGGTTTGTTCTAGATCATTAGGTAACCCTTATTAAGGATTAGTTGGCTTCTTCTACATCTCACTAATGTCATAAAGATTCTTAGATTTTTAAATAATGTTTTTTTATTTATTTATATTTTTAGTGTTATTTCCCACCCATTTTTTTTATTTTGAGGGTCAGTTGCTAATGGTTTATAGTTTTTGTTGTTTGTTGCTAATGGTTTATAGTCATGATAGTCATTCCTATCTCCTAACGAATACTTTCCTATTATGTTAGTAGGCCAAATACTTCCAGAGATTCTTAAATTTCTGCCTAACCATTCCTGTTCAAACTTTATTTATGGACTATCATGCAGGAAATGAATTCAAGGTTTAGGGGTCGAAAAAGGATAGACAGAATAAGTAGATTACCAGATGACGTACTTGTTCACATACTTTCATTTCTTCCAACTAAGCATGCTGTTGGTACTAGCATTTTATCACATCGCTGGCAGTATCTTTTTACCCAAGTAACCAACCTTGATTTTGATGAGTCCCTCATGTTTCACCCAAGAAATTCCATGGAAGACCTTGTTTCCACGAGGACACACTTTGAATTACTTCAAAAGAACCAAAATCATGGTTTTCCTCATCTTAAGTTGGTCTGCAGCTTCAAGGATTTTGTGGATAGGGTTCTGATGCTTAACAAATCCCCTAATATTAGCAAATTCCGCCTCAAGTGTAGCTGGGGCTGTGATTGTTCAAACCTTAATGTATGGATCAGGTTCGCTTTACTCCATGATGTTATTGAGCTTGATATCTTAACTAAAGAGTATAAATCATGCCTGTTGCCCACCTCTCTTTATACTAGTCAGACACTAGTGGCACTAAAGTTGCATGGAAAATTTGAAATGAAGTTTCCAGCATCTACCCACCTGCCACACCTGAAGTCTTTGCAACTCTTTGGTGTTGATTTTTCTGGCCCTTACTCCCTTAATGGGCTAATCGCTGGGTGCCCGTTGCTTGAGGATCTTACTGTTGGAGGTGCATGGGAAGATGTTATAGATATTAACATTTCCTCAGCAAGACTGACTAGTTTGACTATGAATTTTAGGGAAAGTTTTTGTTCAGAGTACCACAGATCTAGTGTGGTGCTTGACCTTCCAAATTTGCATCGCTTCAAGTATGTTGATAGGTTAGCCAGTAACTACTCTCTGAAGAATCTAAACTTGCTTGAGGAAGCTCGCATTGAAGTTTTGTTGAACACAGATGACTTTAGCTTGTGGTCGACTTTCTGTGGTTCTGTTCTTGGCCTCTTGAATGGAGTTTCTAATGCCAAGCATCTATATGTGTGTGGTAAATGCATGGAGGTAGTTCTGCACTTCTTTGAACTATTTTAAGGACTTACGGTTCAGGAGAGGTTTTCTTTTATTCCTTTTTGTCATTTATACTATTCTTATTTAAAAGCATGTTGATGTTGTGCTCAAGATCTAGAGTGAGAGTGAAGCCAAGTCTTTACTTTCTTTGTGTTTCTTGAAGGCTATTCAATGTGAAAAATATACACTACCAACATTCCATAATTTATCTCGGCTGGAACTTGGTTGGAGCAGATGTGTGAACTGGAGGGTTCTCTTGTGTGACTTTCTTCAAAGTGCACCCATTCTTGAGCATCTAGCTTTCTCCAAGGTAAATGTGAATACGGTCCCATTTTTCGTTTCTCACTAAAAACCTAAGCCAAAGTTCTAGTTCGGAGCCAGCAGTGGTAATGGCTAAAAAGCTGATTTGAGCTATAACACGGCCCTGGACTTTTATCTCAACCAAACCAAAGTTCAGGTCCAATTATTTCTTTTCAATTGCTCCCTCCATCCTATAATGTAAGATGTGTTTGGCAAAAATTTTAAGAAAATAATCAGGATAGTAATTATTTTAGAATTGTAACCTCCAAAAACAAGAAATACATGAGTCCACAAAACAAAGTAAAATATGAAAACACATACAAAAGAATAAAGTGGGAAATTAAAAAGAAAGTTAGTTGAATTTGAATAAAGAAAGTGTTTGTACTTTGACAAATGCTATAGGTACCCCAAAATGGGGTACCCCATTCTTACCCCGGCCTAATGTGTGGCCACAAGTGGGGCAACACTTAAAGTGTTTCCCCATTTGTGGCCACACATTAGGCCGGGGTAAGAATGGGGTACCCCATTTTGGGGTACCTTTAGCATTTCTCTTATATTTTTAGGGACAAAATCACAAACCCAAAAAGAAAATGTATTTTACGAACCCCAAATGGAAAGCAATATAAAAAATGGTTCAAGAGCAAATGGTGAACCCCTGGGACCAGAACCAACCAGATTATAACTGTTTGGGTAAAGGTCCTTGTGTTTTGGGGACCGGAACAACCTTTTTGGAATCAGAATCAGAAGCATGAACTCATGGTTCTAGTTTGCAATCATTCTTATGATGATGATAATAACCAAGGGGATATGAATTATTGTGATTTGCCCACTTTTGTCGACTTGTTGGTTTGTTGCAGGGACTCTTTCATCGTCAAAGCGATTGTGATGACTATGAGGACAATAACTTCTGGAGTAATCAGGAGACACCTGTTTGTCTTTCCTCTAACATCAAGACCATAATGATTGGTTCATTTCATGGTTTTGAAGAAGAGGTGAAGATGGCAAGGTATTTTCTCAAGAATGGCAAGTTTTTGGAGAAGCTAATATTGGAGTGTTTCATTCGTTCGGACGAGGAGGAGCGAGAACTGAAGAAGCTACTGAAGAAGCTGCTGAAGGCGGAAAAGGCTTCCAAAGAATGTATTATTGAGATAATTTGAAAAGTTATCTTTTGATAATGACTATTGCTGGTATTTTGTTTTCTGACTATATATGTTTTACTCTGTATTACTCCGTAATTAGAAGTGAAGATGTTTTGAATCCTAATACCTACCGAGGGGCTGGCATTTAATGATGATTTTAACGGCTCCGTTCAAAATAGTGTAGTAATGCTGCCTCTTAATTTAGAGGAGCCCTTTAGTTGGGATTGCGGTGGATGGCTTTCCATACAAGAGCATTGCAGCAAATTATCATTAGAAGAGGGACTTATACATTAACGACCTCTTTAGTATCTTATTTTATCACTATATCACACTGTCACTTATTTTATCACTATATCACACTGTCACTGTCGAACTGCCAAACGTAGGGGCGGAGCCACGACATTGGGTCTAGGGATGGACTAGGCCCGACCTGTGACCAATATTGTTTGGGCTCGGTCTGATACTGGTTTTTCGATACCGGCCCGATACCTGGATCGTAGAAATGGGATGGGTTCAGGCCTGATTTCTTGGGACCAGTCGACCAGACTGGCTGGTCCCAACCAAGATTTTACAAAAATAATAAATTAAAGGATGGGGTTGACCCGGGATTGGTACTGTTTGGGCCTGGAGCGGTACCGGACCAAACCAGATTGGTATTGGGCTTCAATTATTTTGAACCGGGACTGTTCGGGCCTGACCCGACTCCATCCCTAATTGGGCCGGATTATGTCGAATAGGGATGGACCGGTTCCGGGCCGATCGGCTCGGTACTGTTTAGAACCGGCCCAGCAATTGGGCCTTGGACCGGTCCGGACGTCCGGTTAGGCCCGAACCGGGTGTTCCTAAGGGAGAGCTCGAGTCATGGAAAATATGAACCGGCCAGGCCCTGTTCGGGCCTTTTTTGTTTTTTTTTTCAATTTTTTTTGTTTTTCCCGAGTTGGGTTGGGTGTTTTGGGGGGGGGGTCGGGGGTTAATTGGAAAAGCATAACAAAAAAAAATTGAACCGGCCCGGACCCGCTGGAATCCCGGGCTGGTTCCGGGGCCCCCCCCAAATAAAAGCCCGGTTTGGACCGGACCGGAGCCCGGCCCGGAACCGGTCCATCCCTAGTGTTGGTACAAAGAACATTTTTGAGAAAAAATTTTACACTAAAAATTAAGACATTTTTTTAATTTGGGGCGGGCCAGGGTCTAGGCTAGTCCCCCTAGGGATGGAAAACTGTAAGAAGAAAATAGGTTGAACCTATAAAAGAAATATTGAATTTTAGGGTTTTAGACATCAAGGCCGGGCCTGCTACTGATCAAGCATTTACGTTATTCTGAACATATAACACTTGAACAACTTATGAGTTATGAACAGGATTTTAGGAAATACAGTATAATACATGATGTTGATGTATATACATCAGTATATGCTGCACTTATTCTCTTGCAGTTTGTACAGCCATATTGATTTTGCAGCTCGTACACCTAGAGTTGCAGCCACACTGCTACAAGCAGCTTATTATCTCATTCAATCAATATACAGCCACGGGGCGCCGAACAGCCTATAATGTTGCTCTTCTCATGCCAATGACACATTATCAAAGTGAATACTGCTTCTATCAGGCAGCAGCCTCTTCATGTAACATTTTGACCCGTGCAAAACATTGATTCTTTTCCTTCTCTCCACTGGTATCTGACCAACGCAGCATTCTGAAAATCCGCGTCTTACAAACCTATGAACCACACGTAGATATTAATGAATGAAATAGATTGCTTCATTGAATACATGGACCAAACTAGAAACTCATTCTCCTTAAAACTATACAATAAAAATGCATGAACCATACCAGTCCTCTGTACGAGTTGTACGAAGAAAAAGCATTTGTATGCCGAGGGAAGATGCCTTCTTTTCAATATAATCTGCAAATACTTTCAACATAGAAGTCAGTTCAATTACACTATATACAGACAATACAGTGGCAATCCATTGCTCTCTCTTACTAACAAGTAACACAATATCTTGTAATTGTCAAGAATGTATATAATTCGTTTTGAAATAACCATTTGGAATTGCAAGACATTTGTTTGGAGGAAAGTTGAGAGGGGGTTTAGAGGAGAAGACTTTAGAGGCTGTAGGTGCTGTTCTGTTAAATTTACTAAATTCTTATATAAAAATGACCAAGTGGCAACAGAAGCATTTAAATCATGCTAGACCAGAAATATATACTTTCGACAAGAAATATAGGCAAAATTGGAAACATTCCGGTTAATTCAAACCAGAAACATTCAGGATTTCAGACCAGAGCAGTAAGATTTAGACCAAACCAGATCTTCTAAAATCACATTTTCTGGACGATGAGAACAAGTCCTTAGCCTATATTTCTAGAAACAAATAAACGGTTATTGAAATATGTTTCGATTACATGTAAATCTTTCAATTTTTATGAAACCTCAATTAAATACTTGTAAATCAATATACAGACTAACCCCTCCAAAACTCTCAATCAATACAAATCCTTGGATACAAAAACAAATTCAAGTAAATGTCACTTTAGAATTTAGAGAACACATTAACTGCTTATTTTCCATGATTATATTATCATCCATAAATGCTACATGGCAGTATGGCACTATAGAAAAACTTCATCACAATATATTTTCCAATAGGGCTATTATTTTAATCATATGATACTATTTTTGCCTTAATTTTGCAATGTCTTATTACTCTCATAATAAGTGTCAAACCCTTAGAACATGATACATCAATGCTTGAGGGGTTTTGAAATTGAAGGGCTATGTATCGTTTATCCTTACCAAGTAGTTTGTCTCCCTGCCCTTGGCCACGGTATTTAGGAGAAACGGCAATAAAAGCAACCTCTCCGCATTTTTCTTTCAAGTATGCAAATAGAGAAGCACAAGCTATAATTTGGCCCTCTCTTTCCACAACAACGAACGAATCCAATGCCACAATAAGCTAGAATAAAGAAGTGAGTACATAAAAACGTTTTATTTTTTTTATTACATGTAAAGTGATTTACCAAATGAAAGCAAAACTCAAATAACACCTAAAATATAAAACCCACTGACTTACCTCCTCCTCTGTCCTCCAAGCCAATGTTCCATATTTTTCTAAAGGTTGCAATAATTGTGTTATTCCTGGTATATCCAATGCCCTTGCCATTCGAATTCCTTCATAAAGGTCACTAAAAAGATATAGTGCTTACATTAGTTTGACACGATATATATATACAGCCAAAATATCATCTTTAAGATCACTATTCAGTAAGCACTACTAATGCCAATGTGCTTACAAAAATGAATCTTTTATCAAGAATTTTTGTCCTAAAATAGTCCAGTTTTATAAGTCTCAGAATCAAATCCTCCAAAAGAGTTGCAGGAGGGAAAAAAAAGCGGTTGATGCAGACTAACAAGGAGCCAATGCCCTATTTTAGAACTGTTGGTGTTTGTAGTATAGCATAGACATTAGAAAGGCAGAGTTAAAAGCATATGAATGAAAAATGTAGGGGTATAACCGTATAAGTGACCATTCATAACTTAAAGCATGCACCTTAGACGATCCTTGGTTGAGTTGACTCTTTTTTGGGAAGCAAAGAGTGTTATGTTTACTTATATTTTATCAAGAATTTCAAAAACTAAAGGTGTCCATACTGCTACACATTGCAGCAGAGACGGGTGTTCACTAAATATGGGAAGGTGTTCAGTCGTTAAAATGCGAAACCAACACATGTGCATTTCAGTACAAGATTTATCAAATGATTCCATACCTAGCCACCATTGTACCAAAGCCATCCCTTTGAAACAACTCCTTCAATAAAACTCCATCGATGGTTCCATCTAACAAGTGAACTCTTTGAACACCTCCCTGGAGTATTAAAAACAGAAGAGATAACAAGATCGAGAATTTTAGTATAGAGAAAATTCTTTGAATAGGACTGTGACATAATCAAAGTGCACAAATCAGACCATCATTAAGTTTTTCCTAATATGACTCATTCATTCCTAATTGGGGAAATTGTATACCTTTAATAGGATCAAATAAGTTTTATTTTGGGATTAAAACATAACTACTCCTATTTTTGCACTTTGTCTATGTTTAGTCATATTTGAACCAACTTCTTTTTTTACTCTGTAGTATACTAGCATTCATCCTAACAAGTAACAACTAAGGATGTTTTTACTTAGACTAGTTTCAGTCTCAAACCAGACCAGAACAAACCAGACTTAAACAGACCAGACCAGACTTAAAAAGAACAGACCAGACTTCGACATCGGTAAAATACATATAGACCATACATCTTCCATACCAGACGGTCCAGACCAGATCAGAGTATCAGACCATACCAGTAAATTTTAGTCCAATTAATAACATCCACGATGAACTTGCTACATACAAGCAGATACATAAATATACTTGACGTGTTGGGGTTGCACATTTAATTAGAGATAGTGTTCGTGATAAAATCTTTAATTCGCACACCCAAGCTGCCAAATAATTTAAATTTAAAGTTTAGTAGGGAAGTGTTTGTATGGATAAGTTATATTTTTCCTTCTTTAAGATACCAAGTATTTGGGAGGAGGTGGAGGAAAAAACAGAAGAGATCAGTATCTAACACTGCAAACAAAAGCTGCTGTGGCTAACTCTGAAAGGTAACCATGACACCGATTTAGCCTCTCTTGCCCTCCAATTTCAGAACCTCGTTCACCAGACCAAGGCTCATTCCCATTGTCAAAGCCAACTCCATTGTGGAATGTGGGGTTATATTTATCTCTATATCCATTTCTGTTATGAGAAAAAACTAATCCATTAGAAACTTGATAGCCCAGTGGTAAGTCTTCATGACTCACAGCTTTCACATAAGTTGCAGCTGTTTCACTTTGATAAGCTCTTCTGCGGACCAACAAATCAGCATCCTGAACTGTTAAGAAACGAATAAGACGTCCAGATTCATCTAATATTGGACCATCAAGAATGAAAATGACTTTCTCTGCTCTGAGGGCCAATGCGCAGGCTGTAGCAACTTCATATGTGCTGAAATGTAGCATACTGAACAACATTAGTTCCCAAGAATCTTTAACAAATAACAACTAAGCAAAATGGAGCAATAAAATAGATGTCGGAATTATCATTTATCACAGGTATATGCAATTAAAATCTACTATCAAGTTTTAACATCTAAAAACCATGTCAATCGTGGCCTTGTGGGGTGTGGATTCATGTGGTATTTTCTTGGAGGGTATTGACCACATTTATTCATTCCTCACCATCATTATCAGAACCTTAATCCCAGCTCATAGGGCCAGTGGCAAGAAATTCATTTCTCAACCTTCTAGGAAGGAATAATGAGATGGAATTCTAAATCTGTCATCATCATAGGTTCATCCGACATGCATAGAAAAAATTCATGAGACAGTGATGCCTTCAGGTAATTGTTAATTTCATATCCGTTACATGATTGATATTGTAAAATTAACATGCAAATCAAGAAACATGTCATATTAATTAACTTCCATGGCCGCCCCTAAAAATATTGCAATTCTAAAACCATTACTTGATGTTAATAAATGAAGTAATTTGTAATAACTAATAACTAATTAAACCATAGCTATTATGAGATTTTAGGCATCAGTGTTGACAACAAAAAAAGTAAAACTGATGCTTCACAGCAGTTCACGCAAAGTGACAATAGAGATACCTATTAAAAGCCTACAGCCATATATAGCATACTTGCAATTCAAAATATGTCCAGAACTTGAATAGCCAACATTGCTAATTATAACAATAGATTCTTGATCAAGTCTCTCGCGTATTCGAGAGACATCAATCTTTTTCACTTCACCAGTAGACCCGTAATCGATTCCCTCAACAACTCCCCTTCTCTGCCAGGAAGTATATTAGAAGACGTGAGTAAGCTATAGTAAGAACATAGCATATGCAAAAAAAAAAACTATAGTAGGACATATTGAAAATGACTTAACTTAAAAATTACTAGTTGATCTCATTGAGCAATTAAGTAATGGTAATAAGTTGAGAGCAGGTCCATAAATATGCATAGACTAAAAAATGTCACACCTTAGCTGCTAGAAAATTACCACTGGTGACTCTGACACCGTCATGCCAGCGATTACTGTCTCCATGTCGGCGGATAAGACTCAGGGGAGGTCCAGGTGATAGTTTTGCCTCTAACAGTATTCGAATTCTTGCAGCAGCATCCATTGCAGCCTCTAGGGAATCAGTGTCTGTGATTCTGTAGTGACCTACATACTTAGGTTCACTTCCTGTTAAAACAAATTACAATCAAAACTCGTAAGAATAGTAGAATTTTTTTAAGCAGGATAAGCATGAAATTGCAATTACTAGTTGAGATTAATACAAGGCATATAAAAGAGTAAAGATAGGAAGTAAGGACCCGAACCACCCCAACCTAAGCTAGTTCGTGATAAGACAACATAGAATATTAGATAATAGCTAGGTATGGGTATGATCGTGTACAAGGTACAAAAGTTTTGTGAAATCAAAGTTACAGGTACGGAGATACATATTTAAAAGTTTTAACATTCACATTTAATAAATAAAAATAATAATAAGCACTGAAATTTCAAATTAAAAATTTACAAAGACTACATTTAATACAAAACAGGTCTAAATTGTTAGAACTTAAAACCATATTAAAAAAATCAAGTCCTAACTCTAGGTTATGAGACAAAGGCATGAGAGGGAGTTAGGAAAAATAGGAAAACGTAGAAAAGAATGATAAGAGTGGCACCTTGGAAAAATCTAGATCATAATTGTATACTTTATATATAATGGGGTGCTGATAAGGTTTAACGGAAGTTTTAGAGGCGAAAAAAACCATATAAAAGTTTTCCAGTACCCTACTTGTGACACAGCCAAAAAATACTACGTATAAAAAACCTTAAATTTACATACCCAGGCAAACCACAAAGTACCCAAGGCAACCAAAGGTACCCAGTATGGGTACTTCTACAGAGCAGAAAAGACTTTACAGCTTATACTTACAGAGTTACAGCTTGAAAAAAAACTCATGCTTCTTATATAAATATATATACTCAGAGACCCATGTGGTTATGCTGCTTTTTCTTCATTTTATAATGGCATTAGAGCTAAGTATGATGATGCCTCCACTGCATGAGATAATACTCACATCACCAGACACCAGTTATCACTACTTCATGTTAGCATGTAACGCAATTACGCTAATGCTCACATTCTAAAAATACTCCTATATAACCACGATCCAGGAACAACGGCAAATTAGAGCTAATTAGGACTTATCGTTCTCCAATTTTCTGTTTTCATTTTCTAATTTTCCATTTTCAAATCTGAAAACGTGTTTACCAATTTTTTTTGCCCGGCTCTAGGACCGGCTGGAAGGCGGAAAGTACAGTCCTGGTCCGGAACCAGACCCGGTACAGCCCAAATAGAGCTAGAAACTCGGAAGTGACACGGACACCACAAAACATATCCGGAAGAAGGATGAGTTGTCTACCTTTTAGAGAAGACCCCATTCTTACCCAACATGAGAAATCACACAATTAAGCTTTAGTTCAAGTAAAAATTGTTTTCCTCATTGCTCACTGAAACTAATTCTACGGAAGCAAAAACAGCTTTCCCAGTTCAGAAAACATCGAAGGGCCACTTATGGAGGGTGCAGATCACATATGCTAAAAGTATGAACGGTTGAGAAAGATCAGAAACTGAAAAGACGAAGAATTAAATTTAATCAAACTCACCACGCTTGGATAGAAGCTTATTGATCTGCACATGGGTCCCTGGCACAAGAACGAATTTGATTCCAAATTCATGAAGGAGAGAAATATCCTGCGCAGGCATTTACCTTAGTTCAGTAAGACCATCGGATAGTTTCATAATATTACCAGAAAGCAATTGACGAGAGAACGACTCGAACAAAGTCAAAGCAATTCATTTGCTCAAAATAAGAGTAATTCTATATACAGCACCTCTTTTGCTAACTGGACACTCACGATAAAAGTACTTTTTATAATTCCTTTACTGCCCTTATACCAGCGATGTCTCTGGCTGTCGCACCATGCTCAGAATTTTCTCAGCGCCTCCAGCGGAATTTACTCAAGCTCATCATTAGATCTGTCTGAAGCTTACGTCTCCACTAATTACTTGTATTGGCATATCCACTAGAGCCATTTTTTCGTAGCTCTACTAACTTCCATGAATCACCAACTTCCACTTCCCATTTTCAGGAATCGCCAATTCTCGAATTTGTTTAGACTTTCGATAACTGGTCATCAATTAATCTCTGTTAATTTCTAGAAGCAGGAGAAAAGGATTCTGAGATGAAATTTTTGATTCAATTTCTCCAACTTTTCCCACCCAAACTCGAGCCACCTGATGAAATCAGGCCAAGCTCAATTTAAATAATTTACACACCTCTTGCGGCAGTTTCACATCGAAGGATGGTGCTCAGCAGTAGGGGTGGGCAAACGGGTCTTGGAACCGCGGTCCGGTCCGGGTAATGACGGTTCGGGTCCAAAACGGGCCGGTTCTATTTTTTGTTGCCATGAAACGGTCCGGGTAGGTCCGGGTAATTTTTTTTAAGGACCCGGGCCGGTTCCAAAATAAAAAAATACCGGGTACCCGGCCCGGCCCGTTATATATATATATTGTATATTAATTTATTAATAGTTTTGTGATAAACGATTTTGAAATAGTTTTGTTTTCCTTTGCAAGAAGTAGGATTTTAAATTGACTTGCAGTAACATCATTTTGCTTTCAAATTATTGATTAAATTTTACATAAATTTCTTATTATTTTTATTGTTATTGAATTATTCCTTTCTATGGAATTTAATTATTTGTTAAAAATGATTTTGTAATATTTGTTTTTATAATATTGTTCTTAAAGTATATAAATTGTGATTACTACCCTCATGTATGTGTCAACTTTGACTAATACTGAAAATGTGTTCTTAAAATATATAAATTGTGATTACCCCATGTATGTGTCACCTTAATATTTGATGTTAGACAACATTTTTAAATTCAAATGTTAGAAAATACTGTATGTATTTTGGCTATGTTGCTGATTTTTGGAACTTATATACATGAAATTATGAAGTATTAGATTTGTCACTTGTGTTACATGTGCACCACTATGTTGTTATTTTGAAAGTTGCTAATGTACTATATTATTAATTATTGAATTTTGGAACTTTGTGAGTTTTTACTAATTTTAAGATATGGGAATACGATAAAAAAAGATATGGGAATAGAAACCGTAAAACCCGGACCGGACCGACCCGTTTCAAACGGGCCGGGTAAGGTCCGGTTCCTATTTTGAAAATTGCAATACCCGGACCGGACCGAACCGTAGAATGGAACCGGCGGTTCCATTTTATTTTGCATTACCCGCCCCGACCCGACCCGTGCCCAGCTGAGTCAGCAGAGTTGCGGCACCAGAAAGTTGCGGCTATATAATATAATAATAATATAATAATAAGGGTAATTTGGATATTTGCATTTATTTAATTCATTAATATTTAATTTTGTTGTTGTGTTTAGTAAATAGAGAACTGTGAATAGAATTATTCAAAATAAAACCAAACGAGACGAAAAAGACCGTTAGGTCCAATACTGGTTTGTTAATCCACGTGCCCAAATTGAATAATTTTGCAAAATTTGATTTTTTTTGTACTCCAGAGAGTCTAGGAGAAGGGTGGGTCTGGGGGCCTGGAGTAATCAGTTAATCAGTTAATTAGTTTATTTTAATTTAGTTTCGAACCTAAGATATTCCGTAAAGGAGAGTGAGTCGGCGACCAACTGGACTGGACCGCTTCCTTTTACAAAATTTAATTTAATCAATTATGGATTACAAAAATCAAAGATGTTTTGCATGGAAAGCTCGGAATGAAACCCTAAAAGGATACGATAATCCGAAGTGATCCAAATAAGATGGTCCAGTTCCTATAGAACCGATAACTAAAGTACCCCTAGAGGGGGATAAGTCTACTCTAGAACTAGATATGAGCCCTTACAAAAAAAGTTCGAGATTAGCCTAGTCAAAAAAATTTGTTCAAATCTTGAAAAATCTAGATCATATTTGTATACTAGTATATGTAATTATATATACTAGAATACTAGAATGTAATTATATGTAGTGTGACATTTATCCATACTCGAGATAAAATTTTGTATTACAAAATGTACCAAGTATTACTCTAGTACTAGTATTGAGTTTTAGATAAAGCAGCGCATTCTTATTTTACAACACAGCAATATACTAAAGTAAAAAAATACACAGCAATATACTATGTACTCGTATAACATAGAAGTGTGAAAAGTGAAAACACATTTAAAATCTAATAAGATTATTATTCAACTGACCACCATTATTTTATGACTTTAGTATAAAGAGAAATTCTCGTATAATAAAAATTAAAATAAAGTTCACTCCATCACTCATACTTTGGAGAGTTTTAATCAACTTGTTATTATGTACGTAGTACTCCCTCCGTCCCTAAATAAACTTCCAACTTTCTTTTTTCGTCCGTCCCAATTAAAACTTTCACTTTCCCTTTCTGGCAAAGAATTTGTGGTTCATAGCAATTCTTACACATTTCTCTCTCCTCTGCACAACTCTCCACCACACAATATCCACTATCTTAAACTGTGTGCCAAACCTATTTGGAAGTTTTATTAGGGACAGAGGGAGTATTACTTATTTTGATAGAATTAAATAAATCGTATTTGGTGCGTAAAATGTAGTAATCCTATTTCTAAAGTTAGTCTATGTTTTAATTTGTTTTTAGTACGTTTTCATTTTGGAAACTCTTTAGAAATAATTGCTTTCCTTTTTTAAAAGATGACTTTCTCATTTCCTCGTGTTTTACACTTTGACATGTTTTCTTTCAATATATTCCGTCCCTTGCAAATTTATCCATTTTTTTTGTTATTCAATTAACTTTAATTCGTGGTTTCAGAAAATTTTCTCTCATGTAAACAAAATGTGTATACATGTCTGTCATTCACAAAAAATTGTCTGTCACTTAATAACAGTTGTCTGTGACAGACAAATTTTCTGCGAAAGATATACATGTGTACACACAAAATGTGTACCCCAATTATTTTTCATTTTATTAATCAAATTTGGTCAAATTTTAAGTAGAAAGACCGGGGCGCGTACGTACCTCGAGCAAGGAAGAAAGATGATGAGGATTGTCGGCGACCTCCGCAGAAATGACGACAACCAAAGTACACCCCCTCAGCGCCGCAATATTCGGCTCCGCCTCCCTCAACGCCGCCACCAACACCTCCCCTTCTTCTTCAACATATCCCTTCTCCGGCGAACAGCTACCACCGCTCCAACTCGTTGCAGTACTGCAGCAGCTCGACTTCAATGAATGACCACATCCCAGTCCCTCACCACTGCGACTTCTCCTAAAAACTGAGACGGAAGTCTCTCGACGGCCGGAGCGTGAGCAGGCTTGGTGACGGCGGCGGCCTTCCCGGCGTAGAGATGACAGCCAACACCTTTGTTCCACCACGGTCCCCATTTCCGCGCTGCCGCGTCGCAAGATATATAAAGGCAATTTTATTTACGTGTGTTTCATTAATTAATAATTATATTATTACTCCATATATATATATATTTGTGGTGGTTGGACCGTGCGGTCTTTTTTGGTCTCTTTCAGCGACTATGCGGGATTGACGGTCCAATTAATATCATTATGTATATGAACGATAAAGTTGGAAATATTCCAAAGGGGAAGGGATCGGAGTCTTTGCAAGTGGACAATCCGATCAAGTCGCATGACATGAAGCTAAGGTATTGATTCCTGAGTTTCCTGTTGAAGGAGTAGTCGTCACTAATGAGTAATGACACAAGGGGAACGCAACTTCATTGTCCATTTGCTAGATCACGCGTAAATACTACGGTAGTTCCTTCTCACATATATACGAAGTAAAACTTGGTCCATGTTAATTTGTTGATCTGGTCTGATCTGGTTTGAACTGGTCTGGTCCATGTTAATTTGTTGATCTGGTCTGATCTGTTTGGTCTGGGACAAATTACAGTCCAAGTAAAAACATCATAATAAAGTGATTATGGATTTCTTATTAGATTAATTATTTCCACCTTTTGATTTCTTATTAGATTAATTAATTTGATTTCTTATTAGATTAATTAATTTGATTTCTTATTAGATTAATTATTTCCACCTTTTTCATGGGATCTAGAGGAATATATGTAAAGCATGGAACGTTGTTGAGATAAATATATATGAGCCATATAAAAATTATTTCCCATAATCTATAGTTTGTCGAGAGTTTGTCTAAGTCATGAAATAAAATTTAAATCATTCATTTGAATCATGCAGTGGTACCAGACTAATTTGGTGACAAAACATAAAGCTCATGCTATCATACTTAAATATTAATGCACAGACCTAAAACGTTAGTCTTAAATAATGCCTCCGTCCCAAAATACTTAGTCATTTTTAAAAATTTAATGAACTATATATTTTTATTAGAAATTATTTATAATATAAAAAATGATATGAAATTGTTCTTTGTTAAAAGTACCTCAACTTTATCGTTCTTTATAATAAAATTTAAAATAAAATTTTGGGACGGAGGTAGTATGACTTTTCCTTTTGATGAAAAGTTTTTCTTATTCCTACCCTTACATTATTAACACCATCAAACGTTAGACTTCTATTCACTTTTAGCACACACATAATTTTTAATAATGGTTGGCTATTCGATGAAAGGTTAACATCTACCTCCATCTGCTGGTAAGCATGAACAATTGTACGTGACGGTCCCCAGAGTCAGTGATGGAGCCACCTTATTAGTTCAAAGGTCCTCATCACATGAACACCTAGAATTTTGAAAAATATAATATGTTAAATTAGTATATGTGTATAAATTTAGTTTTATTATTTATTTTCTTTTCAAATGTTAATTATAGGGAAAAAAAATGAACACCCAAAGCATAATTCATAGATCCACCACTTGCCAGAGTAACAAGTCCATCTTAATATTCTATTGTGATTTGTGACAAAGGTGGACAATCAATTAAGTCTGCATTGAATGTTGTATACACATAAATTTATACGTAGCAATAATGTATAATTTTCTTTTCATGAATTCACGTGTCCCTTTAATGTTTTACATTTAATTTTTACAATTGATGTCTTAGTTTGCTATTACAAACATCTTATTTTAGATTGTTGATATTTCACTCCGGTGCAACCGATGAGGCGGTGAAGTAACTGGTTACTCTTAATGTATACGTAATAATACGTAAGCCTATTTTTGACGCAGCATATACATATATAGCTTTACAAATCAACAAGTATAAAACATAAAATAAACGAAGCATAATTGATAAAAATAATAAAATATCCTTCTCTCCGTCACTCAATACTTTGTCATGTTTGACTGGCACAAATGGTAATAAAGTAAAAACTGTGTGGTTGAAATATATGTGCAAAGGAGAGAGCTCCAAAAAGTGAAAGTAAAAGTAGCAAAGTTCTTGAAACAACCAAAAACGAAGGATGACAAAATTATAAGGAATAGAAGGAGAATGATATACGGAGTACATAAAATCTGTTTTTAGATAAGACAAACCAAATTCGAGCAAGCATCTTACACAGACACACAGTACTTTGTAATGTGAATTGATCGAATGTATGATGCGTTACATCAAAGTAATGTATCGCTTTCTGGCAGCTTCTACCAACCGTTCATCTGAAGGTACCGAACTATTCCATAGCATATTTCATCTCTACCTCTCTGGGTGCTGATGGAATTGGGTAGGTATGATCCTATTTCTCTAAGTTGGTGGTCGGGTGGATGAGAATACACCAACATTGAATCAATCCGATCCAAACAGTAATGAAACAAAACTAGGGGTGACAAATCGGTTTATAGTTTGGTTTTCGGTTTTGCTTTATTCGGTTTGAGAGATGTATCAAACTATTGTCATTTATTATGCTTCGGTTTGATTTCGGTTCGTTTTCCGTTCGATTTCGTTTCAAGTTCGGAATACCAAAGTGAAATTACTAGGTCCAATGTAGTACAATTTGATTCGGTTTCATACTTTCATATGTTATTGTTTTATTTGATCAAATTTTATAATTTAGATATAGAAAATGAAAACAATAGTCCATCTCATCTTTTTGTATTTACATTTAAATAAAATGTGAAGGGGAATAAAATATACTCCGTATACTTCCCCCATCCTTAAATAAGTGCAACAGAAGACTTCTCACATTTGTTGAGGCACAACTTTGACCATTAATATATATTACCTCCGTCCCGGTAGACATTGCCAAGTTGAAAGTAGGTGAGAAATAAGAAAAGTAAAAACTGTGTGGTTAAGATTTGTGCACAGGAGAGAGAAATTTATAGAGCAACAAATTAGTTGCTTTAATTGGAAAGTGACAAAGTTTTTTGGGACAATCAAAAAGGGAAAGTTGGTAAAGTCCAATGGGACAGAGAAGTATAATTCAATTCTCTGTCAGTAAAAAAAAATTAAAAAATCAAAATTCGAAAATTTATAATGAGAAAATTTAACAATATTTTTTTCAAAAAATATGTCAATACATTGATAAATAAAACATAGTCAAAGTAGAACACGTGAACAGTGTAAAATTCAATAGGTTACACTTATTTAAGGATGGAGGAAGTAAAAAGAAATAATAAAATACTACCTCCGTTCTTTAATATTAGTCCTCTTAGGCTTTGGCACGAGTTTTAAGAGGAAAGTAGTAGGGGTAGTGTAAAAGGTGTAATGAATAGTGGGTAAATGAAAAAGTAGGAAAGAGAAAGAGGTAATGGTAATAAAAGTTGGGGTATAAAAGTATATTTAGAGTAAAAACTTTCCTTAAATGGAAATGAGGACAGATAAAAAAACGTCCCAAAAAGGAAAGAAGGACTAATAAAAAAGAACGGAGGGAGTATCACGGAGTATAAATTACTGAGAAATCATCTTACTAAGGCTAATGACATGAAAACATCTAGCATCTTTTCAATGACTAGAAAAAGATTCACCTCTCACAAATGATAAATTTCTAGTTAATTAGCATTTATAATATCACATAAATATTCAAAGGATCCCATTGTTGTGCCCCTAGCAGTCTAGCACGGTGGGCTAGCACCTCACGCCCTAAGCGGTGCAGCACATAATGGTCCCGCCAACACCGGTTCTGCTGCCGCACTACACGACACGTCGTGTGTCTTACGGCTGCCATACGTTCATGCTTGGTGCTACTGACGAGTATATGAGCCATCGACTCCTGATGCCAATTGGTCACGAGCTTCCTTACCCATTTTGCGGGGAGGACACGTATGAAGAAACACTTCTCCCACCTATTCACTATCAAGCAGGCAAAGGATGCAATACTGCTCAACAAATTCCTTGAGCGCTGGAGAGTCGAGAGAACTCAAGTCTACGCTGCTGACGATAATACTCGTATGGCCAGAGTACTCCACACTAGATCAACCTAGATACACTGCAACCATCGTTTTGTAGAGTGAACTTTGTGGGATTGCAAGTTGTTCGATGATTTATTATTAGAGCTGCAGGCTAGTACGGGCCTTGAAGCACATAGGTCCTCGAATTTTCATAAAAAGGTCAAATAAGTCCTTATATAGAATGCTCTGTCCGGCCGTCCGATTTGCGCGGTTTCCAGTGGAATTTTTTGATGAAAATTTTTTAGCATCTTATGCATCAAGTCTATTTTACTCATACCAAATTTCAGCTAAAACTTTAATCGGGAACACGACCTTCTATATTAATATAATATTATTAGGCATATTTGTTTCCTATTCTGTATTAAACTCTTTTAATATAAATAGACATGCCAGGGCTCCTATTGGAATACCTTTTTCCCAAATTCTCACATGGTATCAGAGCCTAGGGCTAAAAATTTCTTTTCGGCGTTCTCTCCCTTCCCTCGATCGCCGATTGCCATGTCTGCAGAATCTGCCGCAGTGAGTATTCCTACTACGGAGGCTTCCTCTTCCATGGAAACAGTCTCTACAGCAGTGCTAACAATCCTGATTTCCTCCCTTGACTCGGTCTCTTCAGTCGCGGTCTCCACCAACGCATCCGCAACCTTGCACTCATCCGGCGCCCTGGTTTCCTCCATCCCGCAGTCGGAGCTCTTCTCATCCTCTCTCTGGACGCCACCAAGCCATTATACTCTCTTCAGCAATCTCCCACCACAATTCTCAGAGTCGCTACTTCCCCCTCCGACCAGTTCGTGTGCAGCGTCCTGTTCATCACCTTATTTCGGACCCACTTTTGCTGGAACTCCAGGCATCATTCGGCCGGCCAATGATAACCTTTTGTCCGGGTCCTCCATGGCCAGTTTGGCGCAAACGGTTTCTCATGGAATAACCAATGTTTCTCAAATTGTCACTATCAAGCTCAAAACTGTTGAAGACTACCTTACCTGGCGCACACAGTTTGAGTCCTTCCTTGTCACGCCCCGGACCTACCGGACACGTCAACAACCCGCCGTACAGTACGAATAGTCAACCGCAGTCCAACTCATCCACACTATACTAGGCGTCTTGAATACCATTCACACATAGTACATCCATAAACAATCATAACGTAAAATATTTAATTAAGCAGCGGAAACATAATTACAAATATTCAAGCCACACG